CCCTGTTTCTACAGAATGTTGAGTAAATCCAACTACTGTTCTTTCTGGAAAAAACCTGCAATTGAAACTGGGATTAGGGATAAAGAAACCCAGGTGGATTGTACCCTTGATTGCTGGCTTCTGGTCTATTTATCATACAACATGTTTTGCTAGGATGTGACTAGGGTTTTTTTTTTAATATTTTTAGTTGTAGGTGGACACAATGCCTTTATTTAATTAATTTATTTTTTATATGGTGCTGAGGATCAAACCCAGTACCTCACACGTGCTAGGCAAGCACTCGACCACTGAGCCACAGCCCCAGCTCTGTGACTAGCTTTTTGTGAGCCTACCTTGAGTACCCATGGTATATGACTGGCTTGCATCTAAAATATGTACAAGTAGCTGATTGATCCTGACTCCCCCTTGGTTTACTGTTTGCTAAAGTCTGTGGTCCGCTCACATGTGACTTGCCTTTAGAAAAAGCAGCCATTTGATTAAAATTATTTTTCATAAATAGCATTAAACTATTTAAAATACATAAAGGGTCCTAGGATTCTGTTTTTTCATTTAATCTATTTTTTATTTCAATATTATAAATAGTTGCTGTAGAGTTGCATGTTTCAGGTTCTTGAGATGGGCATGAAACAGCTAGTTGTCCTTGTTTTCACTTCAGATCAATATACATTATTTAACAGGGAGTATAATTTGTAGAATAACTATAATGATCATAAACATCCACTGAGAATGTATTATTTGACTTATGAATTGTATTATTAGACTTATGATTTCATATTACTTTATTGGACACAAGGAGATAGAGTAATGTTTATATGCTGTTCTACCTTAGGAAATTTATGGTACTATTTTCTGTGTTTTTTGTTTAAGAACAAATCTTCCTGAAAAATTATGCTTTTTAATTGATACAAGTCTTGATAATTCTTTTTTCCCCATATTTTTATTGGTGCATTGTAGTTGTACACAATGATGGGATTTGTTGTTACATATTTGCACAAGAAACACATTATAACAATATCTTTTGGCTAATATCATCCTGCAGTATTTCTTCCCTTTCCCTCCTTTCTTCCCTCCCTCGGGTCCCTTTCCTCTATCAGTCTTTTGCATTTCATGAGACATCCCCCAACCTTGCTTTTTCTTTTCCCTCTCTAGCTTCTACATGTGAGAGAAAACATACAATAAGCCTGGCTACTTATAATATTTCATTAAGAAATACTAGTTATCTCTTCCATTTTTGTTTTAAATGAAATAAATAAATCTGCCAGTGTGATTGGGGCCTTATAAAACACATAATTTCTTATTTTAATAAAGGAATCAGGAATAACTTAAGACATAGCAACTAATTGAAAATCTCTTACAACTGATACCAGATAAGGAAATTTTTAAATAAAGGTCTTAGACTTCAGAAAAGGAAAGGTAAATCTGTATTTATGCTGTCTTTATTAAAATAAAAAATTTGAGAATATAGGAAATTGGTATACAAGAAATTAAAAATAACCCATTAGGAAAGACCTCCCATGTTCATGGATAGGGAGAATTATATTATTAAAATGGCCATACTGTCAAAAGCAACATATAGATTCTACAAAATCCCCATCAAAATACCAATAACCTTCTCCACATAACTAGAAAAAAAGTCCTAAAATTCATTTAAAAGAATAAAAGACCCTAAAAAGCAAGTCTAAGCCAAAAGAGCAATGCCAGAGCTATCACAATACCTGACTTCAAATTATATTAGCAATGCCGACTTCAAATTATATTACAGAGTTACAGTAACAAAAACTGCATAGTACTGATATAAAACCAGATACAGAGATCCATGGTACCTAATAGAAGACAGGGAGACAAACCCACACATCTATAGTCATGTGATCCTTGACAAGAATGCCAAAAACATACATTAGGGTAGGAGAAAACATATAATAGGCCTGGTTACTTATAATGTTTCATTAAGAAGTACTAGTTACCTCTTCCATTTTTGTTTTAAATGAAGTAAATAAATCTTCCAATGTTATTGGGGAAGGAGGGAGAAACTACTGGGAAGTGATGCTGGCCAAATTATATTGTTATATTGTGTTCATGTATAGATAAGTAACAACAAATCACACCAACTTTGTATATGTGCAACTATAATGCACCAATAAAAAAAATGGTGGGGGAAAAAGTAATCTATCAGTCTTTGGGCCCCAGGGATTATTTATGTGTGTATACATACATATGTATATATGTATGCATGTGTGTGTATACATATGTATACACATACACATGTATACAATGTTGGGCATCTTTGTTCAATTTACAAAACTCACTTTATCTCCTTTCATTTGTTTCTCCTTTATCGGTTTGATATTGGTGTTGCTTAAACCATTAAGAAATGAGGAAAACATTTCAGAGAGGGTAAAGGGAATTGCCTAAAGTCATCTGAGTCCAAGTCTTGCCTTTTATAGTTAAAAGACACTGTAGGCACTAATTTTTTGATTGAGCCCTTGGTCAGCATAGTGGACTGAGAATCGGTATGCCTAGATGATGGTCCCCACTCTGCCGTCTACTCCTTTTGTTCTGTAACTGGTTCTGCTAATAAACTAAGAATTACAGAATCTAACAATAATGATAGAGAGTGATGAATAGAAGGAAGAAGTGGAGCAGCTCAGGGCACATGGATGTATCCGTCTAGTGGCGGATTCAGCAAAATTGCTTCAGTGTGTTAAGTGCTAAAGAACACACAACCCAGATTAAGGTTCTCGTACAACTTCCCAGGAGAAGAGTTACTTTAACTGACACCTGGAGCATAAGTCAAAGTATTATCAAGTGAAGACTGGCGGAAATGGATTTCCTAAGGAACAGCAGGAGAAAAGACACAGGGCAAAAGAAAGCACCCATCACTTCAAGGCCTGGAAAGTTCAGTGTTCATTTTTATAGTGTGTGTATGTATATGTGTGTGTGTGGGGAGGGCAGTGGCTTCCATGAAGGAGGAAGTGGTGAGAGATGAGGATAGATAAGGAAGGAGGAGTGAAAGGACTTCAAGTCTGTGAATAAAGGTTTTTGGAGAGCAGGGTAGAGAATGAGCTCTATATATGTAATACGAATTGTAATGCATTACGCTGTTATATATAAATAAAAATAAAGAAAGAAAAAAAGAGAATGCTTTAAGTAGGAGGAACAACTCTTCAGAGATGGTTGCATAATCCAGGTAGGGAATAATGGTTACCTGAAAAAGAGTAGTAACATGACAGATGAGGTAGGTAAGGAAAAGGGCCGATATTTGAAAACAATTTATTGGGAGAAACTTAATAGGGTTCTTTGATAGGTTTCATGGAGTGAGGAAAGAGAGCAATGCCCAGGTTTCTGGGCTGGAAATTAGGAGAATAGTATTACTGTTCTCTGAGAAATAGTACAACAAGAGTACAAATTTTATTATTATTATTTTTAAATATTTTAAAGTTGTTGATGGATCTTTATTTTATTTATTTGTATGTGGTGCTGAGAATCGAACCCAGTGCCTCACGCATGCCAGGTAAGCGTACTACCACTGAGCCACAACCCCAGCCCCAAGAGTATAAATTTTAAAGAAAGAATGTGGGTGGGAAGATCAGTTCAGGTTTAGACATGTTGAGTAAGAGGTACCTGTAAAACATGCAACCAAAGCGGTTAAGTAGAGTTCTTAGTGGATCTGTGACTGGGAGGTTTGACTTGCAGGAAGGTTTGGGAAGTTACTGAAAGGACAATATTTGCTTCTAGCTATCTCATTGGTGTTGGGAAAAGAATAGAAATGTCAAGTATTCAAGCTCTTTTTGAAGGAAACTATTGTTTAGTTTGCATAACAAGTCTATAAGCCACCTCTAGAACAAGAAAAAGTCATATCACATAGAATTAGAGCTAGTACCTCGAAGGGTTGCCTAATACATACAGACATATAAATTTAAAAATGAGAGGAGAGATGATTTGTTTTCAAAACTATGGCAGTGATTGTCAGTTTGGATTAAAAAATCAAGACCCAACCAGTTTGCTCTGTAAAAGAACCCTGCCTCATATATTAAGAAAAAAACCAAAAACATAGATATGTTTAAAGTAAAAAGAAAACGTTATGCTATATGAAAGACTAATTAAAAGGAAGATGAAGTAGCCATCATCCACAAAGTAGACTTCAGAAAATATTATCAGGAAAAAAAGAATATTACACAGTAATAGTCAATCAAGAATGCACAATAGTCATAAGTATTAGTGCTCTAAATCCCCAAACTGAAAGATCCAAAGGTAAAAAAAGATGAATTCAAAATTTTAGTTGGGAATATCAATGTTCCTTCAGTAATCTACAGAACTAGGAGGCAGAAAATCAGTAGGAATATAGAAAATCTAAATAGCCCTATCAGCCAACTTGATCTTATTGGGTTGTAGGGAATACTTTATATAAAAAATTGGCAGAGCATGCAGCCTTTTCAAGTGCATATGGAAATTTACCCAGTTAGATCATATACTGGGACATAAAACAAACCTCAATAAATTTAAAAAGATAACTCCACATCATATACAATCACAGTAATGAGATCCTAATTGGAGCGAGTTATACTTATTCTATGTATATAATATGTATACATAAAATATACCCTACTGTCATGTATATGTAGAAAGAACAAATTAAAAAATATTAAAAATCATACAAGATACATTTTCTAATAACAGAATCAAACTAGAAATTGATAATGATATATGTATGATTCTCAAATATCTGGAAACTAAAAACCAAACTTCTGAATGATTCATGAATCAAAGAGAAAGGCATAAAGAAAATTCAAGTGGAATTTGAATGGAGTGGCAGTAAAAGTGCAGCACATTAACATGTGTGGGACTAAACTACAGCAGTGCTCAGGACAATGCATAGCCTTAGATGCTTATGTTAGAAAACTAAAAGGCCCCAATCAGTGTCCAGAGCTGGTATCTTAAAGAGAAGAGCAAATTCAGATCCCCCAAGAGCATAAACTAGGAAATAATAAGCAGAAATAATATTCAAAATAAAAATAGAAATAGTTAATGAAATCCAAAGCTAGTATTTGAAAGATAAAACAGATAAACTGTAGCCAGACTATTGCTAGGACAAAAGAGAAGACATAAATTTCAGCATAAAGAATGAAGAGGGGAGATCCATCGGTGTGAATCTGAGAGTGGCTGCAGAAAAGGAGTTGGAGGTGCTGAGGAAGACGAGGCAAGTCCAGCTGCAGGGGAAACGGGGGCATTCCAGGAGGGAAGCGGGAACGAGAATACCTCCGTTCAGGTTCTGTATCCGCCACCCAGGCCAGGGTAAGGACTAGCATTTGTAACACCTGAAAAACGAAAGCAATGGAGAATTACCTGATACAGAAATTAAGATATGGGCAACTAAGTGGGAAGCTATCAGAACAAGGTTTAATAAATTCTTGGAAAAGCAAGCCAACAAACAAAAATGACAGTTGAATTCAACAAAAGATAGTTAGTGGACTCTGAGGAATGTGATGATGATGACTGAACGAAAAATGTTTGGAGACTGGAACTTGATGGGAGAATTCTAGGACAGAAGTTGAGGTCAGATTTAATGTTAATTTTTATTGTCTGTCCACCTTTAAAAAAACATGTCATGAAAAAAAGACATCATTATAGATCCTACAGTTGTTAAAATAGGGAATATTATGAGCATTTTTTTTCATGTCAATAGATTTGATTACTTGGATCGACTGGACAAATTCCTTGAAAGAATTTAAGAAGGGCTAGATTATATAAAATCTTTTCCATAAGAAAAGTCTTAGGGTTTCATGGGCCAATTCTACAAACATTTACCAATTCTACACCAACTTTTCCAGATACAGAGAATGAGTGAACACTTCACAATTTTATGGAGACCACATTACTTTGATACCAAACCAGGCAAATATTTTATAAGAAAAGAAAATTATAGCCCCAATTCCTTCTTGAATATAGGCACAGAAATATTTTATTTTTAAAAATATTTGTTGTCAAGGGATCTTTCTATTTTATTTATTTATTTATATGTGACACTGAGAATCAAACCAAGGGTCTCACGCATGCTAGGTAAGCGCTCTACCACTGAGCCACAACTCAAGCAATACAAAAATCTTAAACAAGTATGGTCAGCTTTCCATATCCATGGGTTCAACCAACTATCGAACAAAAATATTTGAAAAAAATGTTTTACCTGTACTAAGCATATATGGGCTTTTTTTCCTTGTTATTCAAGATACAGTAAAACAGTTAATTTTAAGCTAATGGGAGGATTGTGTAGGTTATATGCAAATCCTATGCCATTTTATATATGGGACTTAAGCATATGCAGATTTTGGCATTAATGGGGTGTTCTGGAACCAGTTCCCCACTGGTACCAAGGAGTGATTGTTTTAGCAAATACAGTCTGTAAAAAGAACAGAAAAGCCTGGGAAGGTGGTGTACACCTGTAATCCCAGTTGAGGAGGGGCTGAGGCAGGAGGATCATGAGTTAAAAATCACACCCTGCAACTTAGTGAGGCCCTGAGCAACTTATCGAGACCCTGTCTCAAAATAAAAAGCAGGATGGGAGATGGTTTAGTGGTTAAGTGTCTCTGGGTTCATGACAAAGTGGGTTTTATTGTGATAATGCAGGATGGTTCAATATTCATAAGTTGGTGATATGTTAATAAACTAAAAAAGAAAAATATAATCTCAATCGATGCAGAAAAAGCATTTAACAAAACTAATCAATTTCTGATAAAATCTTCAGAAGACAAAGAATAAAAGGAAACAACTTCTACTTGATAAGGAGCATGTATGAAAAACCTACAGTTAATATCATACTTAAAAATGAAATACTGAGGGGCTGGGGTTATAGGTCAGTGGAGAGCATTTGCCTAGCAAGTGTGAGGCACTGGATTTGATCCTCAGCACCACATAAAAATAAGTAAAATAAAAGTATTGTCTCCATCTAAAACTAAAAATATAAATGAAGTGCTGAATGTTTTCCCTAAGGTCATAACAAAGCAAGGGGTGTTGGCTTTCATCATTCCCATTTAGAATTGTCTGAGAGGTTCTAGCTGAAGCATTAAGGCCAGACAAGTAAAGAGGCATACAGAGTAGAAAGGAAAAAATGAAAATGTCTTTATTTGTACATAACATGGTTGTCTGTTACAGAAAAGTCTAAGAATCTATGAAAAGCTAGTTGGGTAACACTATTACTGGTTTTAGTATATTGTTAAGGTCATAGGACACAGATTCAGTATATGAAAATTAAGTATGATTTTCTATGCTACCAGCAAATGTTTTGACCTTTAAAACTTATGAAAGTACTATTAAAATAGCCTCCAAATAATGTGAATACTTATGGATGTCTAACAAAATATGTACAAGAGTTACATACTGAAATCTACAAAACAGAGATGAGCAACATAAAAAAAGACTATTCTATGGCTAGATATACTTTACTCACAGACTGGAAGGCTCAATATTATCAAAATGTTCTTCCTAAATTGATGTATAGATTCGGTGAAAATTCATTGAAAGACAGTTTTTGTGGCAATCTATGGCTATTTATAAAACTTCAATACAGAAGTGGGGAAGGTAGCCAAAACAATGTTGGAAAAGAAAAAGAACCCAATTCAATCAGATTTCAAGACTGCTTATTAAAAACTACAATAATCAAGGCAAAATGAATATTTTAAAAATTGTGGTTAAATAACATGAAATCTACCCTTTTGACAAATTTTAAATATATAGCACTGATAATTACAAGCACAAAGTTGTACAGCAGGTGTCTAGAACTTTTTCATCTTTTTTTTAATTGGTTGTTCAAAACCTTACAAAGGTCTTAACATATCATATTTCATGCATTAGCTTCAAGTGAGTTATGAACTCCCATTTTTACCCCAAATACAGATTGCAGAATCCCATCGGTTACACATCCACATTTTTACATAATGCCATACTAGTAACTGTTGTATTCTGCTACCTTTCCTATCCTCTACTATCCCCCCTCCCCTCCCCTCCCATCTTCTCTTT